AGGTGGTTGATGGGATAAGAAGACCTCATCCCTGTGCCATCCATCTCTTGATTTTTTGCACAATTTTAATATTTTATTTATTTTTCTACATGTCTTTTTATAATTCGTTAAGAGTTGCCTTATAGGGGAGATGGGCAGCATAACAAAATTAACAAAAAATAAAAATAATAAAATACTCCTGTTTTTAAGAGTTAGCTATCCACAATCAAAGCCAAAAAGCAAACATAAATATCCTTGCTTTTTCATTATCCAGTGGATATCAGCTATGTGCTCTTTGGTACTCTATTTCTGAATCCACCTTGTACATCTTGGTACTTGTTGCATGTACTGTTGAAGTACAAAGTACAAAATCTTCAGCATTATTTTAGATCTGAGAGAAGTGCAATTGTTCAGGAGTTCGAGCTACTTCTTCTTCTTTGATATTGGAATAAAAATTAATTGTTTCTAGATTCTTGCCACTGCTTGTGTTTTCTATACTTGCTTACAAACTGCACAAATGATTTTGTAAGATTTTAAATAGTATTTTGCTGGTATTTAATCAACTGAGAGCAACATTTTGACTTCACTTCCCAAACTGCCTGGTTCTAGTTCAGTGATCAAACTTTAATACATATCCTTGATTTGGAGGTATTTTTGTACAGTTTTTCATATATCCGCACCGTCTTTCTTTAGTAGATCTTTGGCTTGACTTTTCTCAGCCCATCTTTGCATAAAAAGTCCTTTGATTTATGTAACATGCTTAAATAATTCTTTTGTCCTTCCCATTCAGTTATCGTCAATTCATTTGTGTTGTTTATTTGGATGTAATTTTTGGTCATTTTCTCTGCAGCTCAGTAGTTGGACAAATTCTCTTCTGTCATCTATTGCCCTTTGTTTTCTTTCAACAGCTGTTCCCAACTTATCATCACACAGTCTATGTGTCTTATTTTGTTTTTTGCATGTGACATATTTTTGTTTCATCTTTAAAGAGATCACACATTTCACCCAGAAATCTTCTGTAGAAGAGCTCTTCAGCTGCTATTTTATTTGCATCTGTGATTGGAGCACAGAGGAGGCCACGGTTATCAAGTGGTTCACCTTGGGTTCATTTGAGATCATTTTCTAATCTGAGGCACTGACCTGAGCCCTGACTGTAATAATAATAATAAAGTTGGAAGAGACCTTGGAGGTCATCTAGTCCAGTGTTTCTCAACCTTGACAATTTTAAGGCATGTGGACTTCAACTCCCAGAATTCCACAGCCAGCATTGCTGGCTGTGGAATTCCGGGAGTTGACGTCCACATGCCTTAAAATTGTCAAGGTTGAGAAACACTGATCTAGTCCAACCCCCTGCTCAGGCAGGAAACCCTATACCATTTCATACAAATGGCTGTCCAGTCTCTTCTTAAAAACTTCCAATGTTGGAGCATTCACCGCTTCTGGAGGCAGGCTGTTCCACTGGTTAATTGTTCTAACTGTCAGGAAATTTCTCCTTAGTTCTAGGTTGCTCCTCTCTTTGGTCAGTTTCCATCCGTTGCTTCTTGTCCTGCCTTCAGGTGCTTTGGAGAGTAGCTTGACTCCCTCTTCTTTTGTGGCAGCTCCCGAGATACTGGAACACTGCTATCATGTGTGATCCTCTTTTGCTAAAATTGAGGGCTATTCCATTTCTTTTGTGCTTTTGTCATCCACAGCAGAAGAGGCCATGCTTTTGGCATTTCAGTCCATTCATTTTGCTGATTCCCAAAACTTTAATGTTCAGCTCCTGACGTTTCTGCTCTGAAAACATCAAGTTGGACTTGGTTCATGGATCAGACATTCCAGGTACCAATGGGACATGGGACTCTGGAGCATCAAATTTTCCTTTTGCTTCTGGATAGATCAATAGCTTAACGTCTTTTCAACCCAGCACCAAAATTAGCCATGCTCACCCTTCTGCTCTTTCTCAGTAGCTGGTTGGACACTTCTTATCCTGGGGGCTTATCTTCCATGTTGATTTGGGAGCATCCATTTGGTTTTCCTGGCAGAAATCTGGAGCTAAATACTTCCTTCCCCATTCCTTTTTATATCTTCCATAAATACATGCCAGTTGCCAAGCGCCTGAATTGTGATCACATGACCTTGGGGATGCTGCAGTGATCACACGTGTGAAAACTGGTCATAGGTCACCTTTTTCATTGGCGCTGTAACTTCGAACAGTCACTAAATGAATGGTTGTAAGTCAAGGACTACCTGTATGCAAATAGGCACGCCTTTAGGAATAAGTGATATTAATAATACTGTCAGCACCACTAGCCAATTGCATAGACTTCTACTTACCAAGAAACAACAAAACAAGGATGATTATAAGTACGACAAAGAAAGTGTTTCCATAAATCACAAGGAGCTTCACCAAACGGGACTTGAAGATTTTCTGCCACCTGTAGAAAAAATTCCAGTATTAAAGGGGGGGGGGAGAAATGCACCCGTTGGACTGCAATGCACGTTACATCATGGCTTAGCCAATGTTTTTGATATCGGGTGCTGCCTCCCAAATAACTTAAAAAAATGACTGAAACCTCCTGATTATGACAATTATACTGCCAAGGGAAAAAAGAGCAAAGGAGCAAAGACATAAAGTGAAACATCACCATGCCTGACATATGTCAATTCATCATTTCTGACTGCGGTTGTTAAGCAGGACGTCACATGCTTGCCATTTGCAACCTTCTGCAGCTTCCCTGTTGATTTCGCTTGTTGGAAGATGGGCATGAAGGTCATAAACGGCAATTGTGTGACCACAGAACACGAAGGCCGCCATGCATGCATGCCAACTGCCAAGCACCCAGATTGCGATGTCACCAAGGGGATGTTGTGATGGCCATTAACTTCAAGGACCCAACTGTCTCCTTTTTTAGTGCAGTTATGATTTTGACAGGTCACTGAACAAGTGGTTGGCAAGTGAGAATTACTTGCGCTGTGCATTCTTTTAAACTTGTAAGCCACTCACAATCTTTTCTGAGTAAATACAGTTAGTCCTCAACTTATAACCGGTCATTTAGTGACTGTTTAAAGTCACAACAGATCCCAAAAAAAGTATCCACAACCCAGATTTGACGTTCCAACCCCATCCCCTTGGTCACAAGACCATATTTCGGGCAGTTGGCATGCATGCCTGGATTTATGCCTGTTGGCAGCATCCTATAGTCCCACATAACCACAATTTACAGTTTTGGTGGAAACTGGTGTGTACTGTACTTCAGCTTTCCAGCAAAAATTCTCCCAGCAAACAAGGACTCCCTTAATGCGTGCTGCAAAAAAGATCATAAAATCAGGCATGATCATTTGATGATCTACTTAATGACCATAAAAGCTTACAAACATAACTGCGGGCTAATTGTGGTCATACACTGAGGACCAGTCTGTAGCCTCAAAATATAAATAATACAAACTTGAGCAACTCTTTTACTTTAACACAAAAGCATATCCCAGCCTCCTTCGGATTCTTGGCCTTGGTTAAAAAAATATATTCTCCTGCCTGCTTTCGTGTATTAACTACTCTCACTCATCATCCCAAGTTCCTTTTTCGGCCTCACTCCCTCTGCAATCCTCTGGAAACTAAGCCGAGTCTTGACCTACATTGTGTGGCTTTTGCATTTCTCAGCAGCCTAAGCCATCAGGATTCAGGACCCGCCCCCATCCCACACTCACCCTCCTAGCTCCTCACCTTGTGGCAGAGATAAAGGGAATGCAGAGAAGAAACACAAGGAGGACTTCAGCGTAGAGAAAAGTGGCCACAGCTGCCCACTGGAGACTCATCATGGAAGTATGTGAAGGAACCGGCTCCAAGAAAAGCTGAGATTCACAGCTAGACAGAACTGTTGGCCGAAAGGAGGGGAGAAAAAGGTTATTAGAATACAAAATACAATACAAAGTGTCATCCAGTAATCAAAGGGCTTAATTGAAAACCAACACCAGAATTCAACAAAGGAAGATGTTTTAAACAAGGCAAACCTGGGTGTCAGAAAAGAGAAAAGACCCAGCTAGACTTACGCACCACAAAGTATCATAGTTCCAAGGCATTCTGCTAGCCCCTCAGGACAAGCTCTACAGCAAGGGTGCCCAACTTTCACAACTTTCAACACCCGTGCCCTTCAATTCCCAGAATTCCTCAGCTTTCTGGGAGTTGAAATCCACAAGTCCTAAAAGGGCCAAGTTTGAAGACCCCTGCTCTACAGCATCACCTCATTTGGACATGTTCAGTGCAAGGTCAGAGATAACAGAAGAAGGGTGCTTTATTACACCATGCAATAACAGGAGAGCAGCAGCCCCCTTTTTCAGCCAGAAATGGGGTACAAATAACGCTCCAAATCTTCCTCAGCAAGCAGTTGGGAGGAGAGGAGGAAATGAGAAAAAAAGAGTCCAAAATCTGTGACAGATTACAATCTCTCATTAGTTCCCACAGAGAGGTGCAGTTGCAAACAGAAAGTCTGATGACTGCTCAAACCAGGGGTCTGCAACCTTGACAACTTTAAGACTTGTGGACTTCAGCTCCCAGAATTCCTCAGCCAGCATAGACCCCTGGCTCAGACATCCCTCTCAGATCAAGGGCAGAAGATGCAAATACTGTTCCCAGTAAGCCCCTCACCCACCCAACTGCTCTTTCCCTCTTCAGGAAGCAAGCTCTCCAGGTATCTCTGTGAAGATCAGTCAGCAGATCAAGTTCTTTCTGTAAATCACACATGACCACACCTACCTAACTCTTACCAGGTGGATTCAAATAAGATGCAGAGTGTAACCCAGCTTCAATGCTCCCACACTCAATACATTCGTTGCTGCTTATGATGATTATGATGAAATTAAGGAGTTAAAAAAACCTGCCAGATGCTGCTGAACTGCAACTCCCAGCAACCCCTGTAAGTACTATCAATGGAAACGAATCCTGGGAGATACCGGTAATAGTTCAGCACTATAGGCGAACTGGTTTGCAGTCCCTAAATTACAGTAATTTCTCTGCCTTTTTTCCTACTGGTTTGAAATAACTATTAAGAATTAAAAGAATTCCAAATACCAATTTGAGAGATTAAAGAGGTAGCAGAATGCATGCAAAACAAGTTATGAACTCAAATAAAAAATAAAGCCTCAGGAAAAAGAAATCTTGTGCCATAATGAAAATAACCCAAGGAGAAATCATTTCTTTTGATCCAAGGCAAAACTGTACACACAGCCTCCTTAAGGTATAACGGTACTTGGCAACTGGTCTGCATTTGCGGTCGTTTGAATCATCCTACAGTCACATGATCACAATTTATGATCTTTTTGCCAAAAACTTCAGGGTTGCAGCAAAAATGCCCCATAGGAAATAATGGGTTCCACAAAAAAGGTTATAAAATCAGATCTGGTAACAAGATGACCCACTTCACAATTCTTACTATTTGCAACTATAATGGGCAGGCTCCGCTACAGTCATAAGTTGAGGACTACTTGAATAGGATAAGTGTAAGATTTGTGGTTTAAAATTGATGCTATCCTTCAAGAATTAGGAAAGCAAAAATAGTGTTAGTCCTCAAATGACAAGAATAATTTTTCCATAGTCAGAATACAACCTTGAATCCAAAGTGGTTACCACAAACGTTGTGGCTTGATGTAGGCATAAGTCATCAATTATGTACAATAAATGAAATAAATGAATGAAATGGCAGTTTACTTGTATTTCATTAAAAAATGCTAACTAGTCTGGTTTTTATATATATATATATATATATAAAGGAAGGCATCCAGAAAGTTGGAAAATAAGGAGTGGGGGAAGTAGGGGTAAAAAAGGAGGGGGGCAAGAAGAGAAAATGTAGTTGCCAGATCCAAAAGTGCTTTTTCAAAAGTCTAGTTGCTTTTTGAAAAAGCACCTTTGGGACAACCATGACCTGGATGACTGAGAATCTCCAAAAACATGTAGTTGCCAGACTGCACAGAGCACAAAGAGGGGGAAAGAAGACAGTCCATGTTAAAAAAAAAAAAAGGGGGGGGGCAAAAGTCACAAATAGCCCTTATAATGAAGACCTCTTAGAGCAGGGGTGTAAAACTCGCCACGTCACATGTCGCGACGTATCGTGACTTTTTTTTCCATTGCCGGCAATAGGGTGGGCACGGCTTCCATATGATGAAACCAGCCCGCGGGCCGGCAGTTTGACACCCATCTTAGAGGATTTGTCATTCACATAATAGCCAACATAATAAACATAATCAGTTTGAAAGCAAGCATTCATCAAAAGGCTAGCCATTACCTGTTCTATCTCCCCTCACATCTACCCCCATATTTCCCTTTTTAATCTGTTAAAGAGTGGGAGAATTCCAAGAAGAATTGAACTAACACTTTGCTATTTTTGAAGAAAACTTAGGGGGCCCACTTAAAGCCCCAAAGCATTCTGGGGGTGGTAGTGAGAATGCTACTAAAGACTTTATATGCTCTTCTATAGTATTTTAGTTTCCCATTAAATTATCTTTTTAATGTCAACAAAGTAAGAAATTTGATAGGTACCAAGGAAGCTATCTGCAGAATTTTTGTACACTTGTGTACTACAACAGAGTCCCAGAATGACCATCTTTTTTATTTGTGCCTAGTGTGTTAAGAGTCTGTCTTCAATGAGTTGAGCATCTTAGGAATGTGAATAACCCATAATCACAAATATTGAAACACAAAATATATTAAGGAAAAAGAAAGTAGGAGAGGGAATATCTCACTGACAGAACTACATTGTAAAAAAAAAAATCAATATTTGTCCCACAAAACTATGTGCTGTAATTCACTTTCTATTTGTGGATTTACCGGTAGTAGTAATCATCGTTCATCATGCATCTAAGGTCCCTTTGTTACTGAACTCATCAAGAAAAAGCTGTCCACAAAAAAGTAGCAACTTTGCAAAAAAAAGAATATAGGATTATTTGCTAATGGTATTTTTTATTCATTTCATAGCTTGGTTTGAAATGAAAAATTATATGGCTGCTCTGGATTAATTACCAAATCATCTTAAATGGGCTTCTGAACTTGAAACACAAATGCAGGTAGTCCTTGGCTTACAACCAATCACTTAACCCTTCAAAATTACAAGCCTGGAATAGGTGCTTTATGGCCCATAAAGCACTTCTGGCCATTATAAAATATTACACCCCACTGCCTATCACATTACTGTATTTCTAGGGCTTGGCAATCAGCTTGATTTTACAAACAGTTGCAGCATCCCACAGCCTTGTGGCCATGATTTGCAGCAGTTTTTGCTGTTATCTGGTAAAAAAACACCCATTTGAAGGAATGGGTTTTGCACTTATGACCATGTATTTGCTTAATTATGGCAGTGACTTGCCTAACAATCATTGTAAAAATGTTGTAAAATTGATTCTGGTCATGTGGGTGCCTTACGACCAGAATGACTTAGGATCCGAAATCTGGTCCAACTGCAATCATAAGTCAAGGACTACATCTGTATGTCTGTGTTTGCAGGCATATATTTAAACTGGGTTGTAGAACTCAGCTGAATGGCAATTCTCCTATATTTACTATAGAGCATGAATGCAACAAGCTCACCAGCATCCATTTTCTGATCCTCATGCCACTCCAAGTAAATAAGACCAGAGAGTTTGGGCTTTTTGAAATTTGGGGATAGGACTTGGGGCAACATGGATAATGATGCTTAAGATTTCATTCCTTATGTCTTCCAAACCACACCCCCTTTGGATTGCAGCTCTTAACTTAGAAGAGCATGTACATAAAGTTAAAAAACCCTTTCAAGTACTAAGTTATGCAGTCTCCAAGAGTTTTGCAAATTGAGCAAGCAGAAAGGGAGATTAAAGAGCACATGACTGCCAGGGACAGCTGAAGCATTGCAACACCTGCACAATTCCACCTAAACATTTGGTGCACCAACAAAATAAAAAAAATTAAATTGGCATTTATTCCAGGTAGGGGAGGCATGCTGTCCTTTCTCTCTGCTGCCCACCTACTTTAAGGAAAACATAAGAAATATTTTTCATCGGTTTCTTGGAAAAACTATTTCAAAGACCATAGAGACAAGATGACAAGATAAATTCCACTTCTCACACCCCCAGAGATTGGAAGCAAACTCATATTAAAGTTATGTGCTGCCCCTCCCCCCCCAAACTTTCCAAATAAAGTGAGGAAAGCTATATGCAAACCTCAGGCATTGGCATATCAAATACCTATTTAATTCAATTCCCTAAGGTTTTTTAACATTATGCCAGGGATGAATTCGCTTTCTCAAGAGCCCCATGACTGACAGCCAGGAGAACAAGTCAGACTACCACCCCTTTTGCAATTCCTTTGGAGACGGAGGAGATTGTAACGCTGCAGAACAGGCCCACGCCTGTTACACACTCTTTCGCAAACACGCACCCGCTCGGGCTCTATAGGGCCTCCTCAGTGCATCTCCCTCCCGCTCAGATAACCCCATCCTCCTCCATATTAATGGCCCCTTACAATATTAGTCCTGCCCGCCCGCCCCCCGCAAATCCTAGAATTTGCAATCGAGAGAGGGGGAGGGAAGATAGGCTGCTTCTAGGATATGAAGAAAGGAAGTGGGAAAAGCAGACTACAGGTAAAACCGAATTACGTTCAGGTGTATTATGGGAAGACGCCACAGAAATGTGGGGATTAAAAAGCAAAGGTGCTTCGCCCGCTCCTTGCAGGAGAGGCTTTCCCCTCCCCCCCCCATCATTCTTTCTAAATGGAGGGGCCAATGCGCCTTGCGGAAGAAAGGCACTAGAACCAATTTTCAAGGCGGGAGCGCCTTCTTTTTCACAGGATTTTGCTTTCTTCCCGAATGACCAGCCTCGCTGGCCTGTCCCCTCCCCCGCTCGGCGGGAGGGACCCCGATACGTACCAAGCAAGCCCCAAAACCAGCGCCCGCCTGCTGAAGGCTCGTCCACACGCAGAAATAGAGAACGCTCGAAGCCCCGCCCCCCCTTTAATCGGGCGTGGTCTGAATGCGCCCTCCGCCCAATCGCGAGCAAGTTTTCTAAATAGAGGCGGGGGAGGGTAAAGGCCGAGGTTTGCTCCGTCAGGGTCAGAGGCGTGGCTCCGTCGCAGTTTTCGACGTGGCTATTAAAAATCAGGGGAGGGGAAGCTTCATAGGACGCACCGCCGTGGTGGTAAAGGAAGTAGCTGGGCTGCAAATGCGTGAGACTACAGCTCCCATGATACCTAGAGAGGATGGCTAATAGTCCCGCCTCTCGGGGTTTTTAGAGGAATTGCAAGCGTGCGAGGCTCTGATGGCAGGGAGGCGGGGCTTTGCTCTTGTTTTTCCTAAAAAGGCTGAGCGGGTTCCCTATTGACCTTTTCCAGATAAAACTATCCTTTTCATTCTCTCACTATTTGGTTGATTGTTTGGGGTCCTCCTTTCTTTCTTCTCATCCGTTGCTCCCGTTTCCTTTCTTAGATACATTGGGCTTAAAAAGTGCTTTCGGAGAAATGACTGGTACAATTGCCAATTCAAAAGCAGCGTTCGGCTGTAGCTGAATGGAACAACGATGCACCTGAGCCTCTCCGTTCTCGTACATATCAGATTGGAGTTAGAGTGTAAAAGCCTGGTTTTGTTTCATGGCTTTTGCAGCGCAAGGTGTGGAGCAAAAGCCATACTTCGTTTTAGTTGACGTTTTGAACTTCTGCATTTTTTCTCTTAACCGCTAGAAAACCACCAAATTTGACACGAACTGTTTCTTCTGTTGCGCTCGTGACACGTAGGACAGTATGCAAGCTGGAATAGGAAGTAAATTGGGAAATATTTATGATACAGCAGTATGTTTCTTCCCCTATCTCTGATTCCTGCCCTCCTGTTCAGAACCAAAGGCCCGTTTGGCTCTTTAAAGGGATAAAGTGGAATAAAATGGCATATTTATATAGGCCAATAATACCTTGGGTGTCTGTATTTCCATAATACGGATGGGTGGGGTGGGATTATTTAATTATGCTTTGAGGTCTCAGTATGATCTTTACAAGTGTCTCCAGTGTTAAACAGATGCTATTCTTTTATTGACCAAAAGGGTTTTCCTTTTTGAGAAGCAATTACAGTGGCCCCTTTCAAATTGGCACAGGAAGTTAAATTGTGCAGCTCTAATTAATAATGTATTTAGTAGAATGCTGACATAGAGGCCAGGTTGCTAGAGTGAACCTCAATGAAAGACTTCAGGTTCCTGTTTGCAGCAGATGGCAGCACTCAACATAAGGCAGGGCTTTTCAACCTTTTCACCCATTGTACCACTTTTAGGATATGGCAATATCCAAGTACCACCAACTGTTGTAAGTTGAGGACTAGCTGTACTTCATCACTTTTTTCCTTTTTTTGGGGGGGCATCAAGTTTTTGACACCTTGCTAGGCGTAGCAAGGTGTCAAAAACTTGATGCCCCCCCCAAAAAAGGAAAAAAGTGATGAAGTACAGCTAGTCCTCAACTTACAACAGTTCGCTTAGTGACTGTTCGAAGTTACAATGGCACTGAAAAAGTGCCCCCCAAGCCACAGCCGAGCAAGACACCTGCCTGCCCACCTGGCGGTGCTCTTCCTTCTGTCAGCGGTTTTCATTGTTGTGAGCATTTCTGTTGAGGATTGGCAGTGGGGATGGGGTGGGGAGTGTTTGGTTTTTATTTCCCCCATCTGCTGGGTGGTTGCAGCAGGTTTTGATCCCTTCACATGACCCTGGGACACTGTGACCATCATAAATATGAATCAGTTGCCAAGCATCTGAATGTAAATCACAAGACCCTGGAGATGCTGCAACATTCCAGCTGATCGGCGCTTCTTCTGGGCTCAGCAGAAGTGCCAGGATCAGCGCCGAGCTCCAGCTCCAGCCATCTCTCACTCAGGCTTGTGCGGTGCTGCCACCGGTTCAGCTCATTCCCCTCACCCGCTACCACTTTTCTAGGATGGTCGCGTACCACCTGCCAGGTGCCAATGTACCACAGGTGGTACCCGTACCACTGGTTGAAAAGCCCCGACATAAGGAACAGAAACAGATTCACAACAATGTTTTCTTCAACGGGAGAGTGGGGTAAAATGTAGAAGCCAAGTCACAGATTGAAGATCCTAATAGGAACTATAAGTTTATTTGGGAAGAGATGGGCACTTCTGTGTCTAGTATATAATACATGGACAGTAGTGCCTCATGCTCTGCCCTCTTTCCTCCATTGGCATAGCAACCAATTTTAGGCATACATTTAGAAACTGCCTCCTGAAAGCCCACGTAGTGTTCATGGTATCAGATTAGAACCAGGAAGACCAGTTGTAGCTCACCCTCAGCCACTGGGTGTTTTGGGGTCTGATATTCTCTCTCAGCCTGTCCTACCTTGCAGGGTTATTTCTATAGGGTGCAAAAAATAACTTTACATACACTGCCTTAGGTTCTTGCAAGAAAACTGGATTGTAAATCTAACAAGTAAAAACAGCTCTAGGAGCTGCAGCTTGAGGGCAGCAGATGCTTTCAGAAACTCACAGTTGCCACAGACTACACAATCACTTAGCTTTTAGAAGATGCTGTATCAAATAGTATCAGGGTAACCAAGCTTGGCATATGACTCAGTTTAGAAACACACCTGGAAAAAACAAGTCATGTATGTATTAATGGATAAAATATTAATCAGCCTGTGATATTTCTTGGCAAATTGGAGATAAGGTAAGGTAAGATAAGATAAGATAACCTTTATTGTCATTTTTTTACTGTGGGCACAACGGCACACTTCAAAAATGAAATTTAGTTGCCCGCTCTCAAAGTGAAACACATACACCTAAGCATACTATGTACAACGTATTTCATCACTATTGGTGAGTCTTGCTTCAAAACAACTATTTTGCCCTCTGGCTATTGGTTATATAAGATTATGTATAAAAGCCTACTAAGTATCGATACAACTGTTTGATGAAATACATTCAGTTATGAAATCCTATTTTTGGAGCCAAAAAAACACCAGTAGTTGTGTTGAAAATGATATATCAAAATACAGTATCAGGAGTCACCACATACTTTGAAATAATAGATTTTTCTCCTGGACTTTGTAATGAGATGGCTTCAGAGCAGCGCTGCTCATATATGAGTTTTTCTGGGCTGCTTTTTTTTCTTCAGATTCCACAGTGATGACAGAGTAGATTCCATTTTTAGTCTCTTTTAATATGTTTTGTACTCTGTAATTCATTTAGACGAATTATTCCTAAAGCTTTTGGATAGTTGCATCTTCCAAATAATTGAGTCAGCCACCAGCACACAATTAACAAAAAAATACCCAATCCTCCCACACAAGTTTCCTTTTTGTGTCCCTTCTTGTAGCTCTGATGAAGTCACACCTTCTGTGTGGTTGTTGAGACAATATTTGAGCCTCGGTGTAGGGACAACAGTGTCTGCCTTCTGTTAGCTCTACATGGGCTCGATGTAGTAGCTGCATTTCTCCAATCTTTCAGAATAGCAGTAGAGAGAGACTGGAGACAACTGGCATTACCATATCTCGATTAGCAGGCTGTTTCTCTAACGCGATATACTGTCATGTGATCCAGCGATCGATCCCGCAAGTAATTGTCTTTATTCACAGACGCGTTACATACAAATGATCACTAATATACTAGGGGACTTCCGGTGGCAGGGGACTTCCGGTGGCAGGCGATTTCGCTGGTCGCAGCTGTTTGCTGCCTCCCGCCTGTTTTGCGTAAAAGCCGGTTTGACAGCCAGCATCTGCTGTCAAACGGCTTGATACCTTTCCCCTGGGCATAAGGGGATCGGTGAGCTGCCCGGGGTAGGAGTTGAGTTCCCGAGTCGTCCTATATGGACGATGTAGGCGA